TTTTTACATGCGCAAGAATAATATCTTATCTTTGCTTTTCATAAATAATTATAATACAACATGATGTCCTGTTTTTAAGTACCCGTAACTAATTTGTTAACAAAATTAATTAAATTCATAATCTTGTAAAACATTGTTTTATTTTGCAATCGGTACCGCCTTTTATTGACATTTGACGAATTAAATAGTGACATGCAAATTCGCTTCTATCCAAAGCAATGAAAAGCAAATATGCTTTTGTCCAACGCTTAAATGCAAAAACACCTCAGCCCTACATTATTTCTTAAATTATAAAGAATTTATGTATATTTTATTTGTTTTGATTATTGTTATTTGATTAATGTATTCTATTGAATCTACCAATATCGGATTCTGATAAAAAATACAATTTATTACGACACAATGGAAATTTGCGGTTTTTCAGTCTAGGAATTTTGTGACTGAAGCGCCTTTGCTTTTATACCCCTCAATTGCAGACAGTTTTAGTGCTGAGAAAATATTTGTATGCTTGCTCATTGATTTATCGGCTGTTTTCTTTTTGCTAACCAAAATTTTAAATAAAATGCCAATTGTTACTTATTTAATAAATTATATCACTTTTTCATCTACCAACTTTGTTTTGTTTATTTTCTCTTGTTTATTCATCAAATTTTCTTTTACAAATAATATAATACAAAGATTATGTAGGTGTTACAAGTTTTCTATGTTTACTATTAAACAAGATGCTCTGAACTAAATTTGTGACACAGTACGCACGGTATCTCACTTAATGAGAAGTAAGCGAAATTTATTCAGTCAATACAATTTATTGAATAAATTTATAGACAAGTTAGCTTACTAGTTACAAGCATATAAGAAAGTCGAAACTCTGTGCTTATAGTTCGTAAACCTGTTACGGGAAACTTTGTACCGAGAAAAGAAGAAGGGGAACCGGTAAGAAACTGCAAGTGCTGCTTTTGCACCCTGTTTAATTTCGTACTGAAAAATAAAAAATGACTTCATTGCACCAAAATGTCACTTTCCACTATAACAATAAAAAATATATAACAGACAAAAATAAAAACAAAATAATTCATTCGTCAATGGACTCATTTAAAGTTTATTATAGTTACCGTGGCAGTTATCTTGGACAGTGGTCACACTTCCCGTGGATGCAAATTAAACTTATGTTAAAAAAACTATTTAATTATTGTTGCAAAATATCAACTTTACAATATATATGGAAATAATTGTAAAACACGATTGATATTATTGTCAAACTTTTAAGATATATATTTTGGTACTATAGTTCTTAAAACTACGTAAAATTGTCTATATTAGAGGAAAAAGAAACATATTTATCGAGGTACAATCATATTATAATATAATATTTATATAGTTAACGGGTGGGTAGTCCGCAGGGGCTATTACGAAGCCCAAACAGATTGTCCATATCGGAGGACTATCTTTTAAATAACACTGCAGGCGTATATACCAACGTGGATTTGATCCATTTTATCACTTTACATACGAAAATATAACGAGATGAGCGTGATGTCGACAGATGTCTTTACTCCTCGGCGATCGGAAACAGAATGTGTGCCAAAATGGCGGCAACTTGGTTTTTATAAACGAACTGTCAAAGTCACTGTCACCATTCAAATAAAATTAAAAGTATCGATGATCACGCTCTCTTTACAATCGAGTAATTAAGTAATCGAGTAACTAGCAATTAAAATAAAAGAAACTAAATCAAACGATCTTCGTAATGATGATGCGACATAGTATAAATGTGAAAGTTTGTGAGGATGGATGTTGGTTATTCTCATGCAAAAACTACTGAACAAATTTTGATGAAATTTGGAATACGAATAATCTTTTACCGGTGGGAAGCGCCATCATACGCTGGTAACATTGGTTATAATTACTATACTGACGCAACGGAGTCGCAAGAACAATGAGACTTTTTGATGTCCAACAAAACACGAGCAAAAGATTACTTAAAGATTTATAAATAATTGATAAATTCACGCCACTTTAAACAAAATATTATTTCCTTAAAACTGGAGTGAATTTATCTATTTAATTAATAATAATCATAAATAGGATTGGTACGTAAGTGTGAAACGAATAGAAATATAATAGGTAATAGTTTGGCCATGCCCCCAGTGGCGTAGCTACCAAGGGGCTAGGCGGGGCAGTGCCCCGGGGCCCTCAAGCTCAGGGGGCCCTCGAATCTTTACCAGAAAATCTCAACTTTTGAAAATTTTTCCCATTTTCAAAATAAATATGACAGGTAACAACTCGAATTAAATCATGGCAACTCAGTTGTGAGAAATTCCAAAGTTATAAAAAGGGAATCCCCCTAAATTATGTGGGTTGACAGTGTTATTAATGTTTTTATCAATTTGTCGGATATCAATATCTGCATATTATTATTTATCGATATGCGTTTTTGTGATTCGCGATTGTGAACTTCGAGTCAAGACTTTTGTTTCGAGAATAATTAAAAAGTTAATGTATCAGGAGTAAGGAAGCGTATGTCAATAAATTTTTTGTACTGGTTCATACAAAAGTTAAATTTTATTTGATTATAGTACGTATATGTACATAGTTACGTAAAGAAATCTATAGATTTCGGCTACTAAATATATAACTCAAAATACCGTGAAAAATACAAGTCACATGCGATAGGGGGCCGTCCATTAATTACGTGATTTTTTCGTCATTTTTTTAACCGTCAAATGTGGTAACACTGGCGGTGATAAAATGTTTGCCGGGGATTCCCCAACGACGTCCTGTATCGTATCATTACGTTTCGCTTTCCTTTTATTTGTAACATTGTCAGTGAACAGTGAGTACCTACTTGAGTACAATCTTACATAAATATTGCATAAATAAATTAGAAAACTAATATTATAGGCAAAAAAAAACCCAGTGGTGCATTTAAACGCAAACAACGCCAAGAAAGAGAAGAAAGTAAACAAAAATTGCCCAAAACTGACAAGTTTTTTAGTCAAGTACCTACTTCTGGACAAAATATTTCTATTGATAATTTTTGTAAATAGCTTGCATGGCGATAGTTTAAATAACAGTAAGCTGGTGCAACGTATCTATGAATAAATAAATATATAATAAACCTTTGAATCTTTTATATTTCGTTTTATTGCCCAATATCTACACTAAGTATAAAAATAATTGTAATTTATGTTTGTTAGTGTTTTATAGTTTTATTACCTGCTCATGCACGAAAAAGAGCTGATGATAAAATTGCTTAGCATTTTTAAAGTATTTGTATATTAAATGATTTTACTTCAAAAAACCTTACCAGTTTTGATAGCAGTGGGCCCCATTTTTTTATTTGCCCCAGGGCCCTACGTTACCTAGCTACGCCACTGCATGCCCCTAACAATGGAAATTATATTACTTTATTTAATAAGTAGTTGTTTTGTAGCAGTTTCACGAAATACTGTTTTTATTTAATGAATTCGATACAAATATCGATATCATGGGTCGCGCCCTATGACAGTCCGCCATCGAAGAATTTGCATTTCAAGTTTAGGCATATACGCTTTTTTCGTAGGTATGGCCGGTCCTCTTTTATGTCTATGATGTAAATAGCCTACTTTTGTTTTAATGGTCTATCTGCGCTAGTGTTGTGTAACTCACTCTTTTTTAATGAAGATGAGTGAGGACCTCATTTTCCCTCGTGAGGGCTTCGCGAGTTGCCAATCATTTGAGGTGAGGATAGGTAATGCTACAGTAGCAGTGAATGAGTACGTAGCGAGGCGCGCGCAACGTTGCCGTTTAGTACAAAATGAGGGAGGAAACAAAACATATTTTGTCTACTTTAAATAAAATTTGTCTACTTTTAATAATCTCTCGAAATAAACTTTATTAGATTATTATTTACCAGAATGACCATAACACGCAAGTTATTTTTAATAGTGTCAAATATTCCATTTCTGAAATAAATCATTTATATTTCGAATCGAATAATAATCATTAATTAAACCATTTTAAAAAAGGAACAACGGAATATAAATAGATTTCTAAATAAAACCGATACATTTTTATTAACTTTGGTTTTTACTTAGACTAATTAAATATCATTTGCCTATAATAAAATAAATAGGTATTTGCTAAGAAACACATAAACAAACCTGAATCCTTCCAAAAAACTCATACAACTTAACCCGTTCTTAATCTCGAATACCTATATTGAGTAAGTATCGAGTCGCCTTTTCAATCTAAACAACTCGTTATTATGTTGCATGAGGTTTAATATCTGTGCTCGCACCTCGTGCTTGAAGCCTCAAAAAGTGATGAGCTAAATGAGGTGGTTCAAAATTGAAAAACGAGTACAACACAAAATGAGGGAATTTTGTCGAAATGAGGACCTTAAACGAGGCACCTCGCGAGTGAGGGGCTCATCACTTATCTGCGCATTAATGATTTTCATTGCGATGCTGCTCCGGCTGCTCCCTTCTTCTTATTCTTTTTTAATTCATGGCCTTTTTGCGCTTACAAAATTCCGCCAATGTCACGTTTGTGGTCTTGACACATAAAGAAACAATAATAAAATACGACAATTTTGAATTTAAATAAAAAAAGACTCTGAGCGCGTCTATCTGATTACATTGTTATAATGATACAAATAGAATGTATATAGAAAACAAATATATTTATAAATTAATTATTGATTGCTAGGAATTTAGACAAAATTTTGAATGGGCTGGGTTTCTCCATACTCAAGATACATTTTATATTTGTTGGACGTGGAACTTGTGACGGGAGCAAATCATAAAGGGAAATAGATAAATTAAGACAATTAAATAGAATATGATCCGTAGTTCCTTCCTCAATGCCACAATCGCAGAGTTGTCTTTAATTTTAAATTAAGCAAGTCGAACTGGGGAAGTAATTGTACCAGGGTGTACTGGGGATACTTCTCTAAATATCACAATAATACTTTCCCACTCTATTTCTTATGGCTGCTCCCAAGACATTAGTCAAGAACAACGTCAAAGTCAATGTCGTTTATTTGTCAATTTTTTGACAATCACCTGACCCCGTTGACAGTCACATGTCAAAATATGTTTCATTTGTTTGAAATCAAATTCAAAGGACATCTCTAAAATGATAAAATAAAATAAATTATTAACTTCACAAAAAAAGTATTAAAATCATGTCACCTGCTTTCCGAAAAGGTGTTTTTAGATTTCTTTCATTAGAAAAAGAAACGGATAGTTTATAAATAATGTCTCTATCATCAATTCGTATGACTCCGTGGTGTCTGCGAGAATTACGTCGGAGCCTACGTTTAGCTAGTGTATCTTTAAGGAGACTGCGAACAACTATAAATTCAGATGGATTCAATAGTGGTAACCGTCGGGATTCACACGAATATTGGAATTCATCGCCAAAAAGATTTTTTATCGGAGTCAGTTCTTTGAGCCTTGCACTTCTAGCGGCTGATCGCATATACAATGGTAAATATAATATAAAGGTAATTCGTTAAATGAACATAAGTACCAATTGTTGAAGCGTTTGTAATACAAAACTTGAAGTATAAGTACCTAGTTAGAAAATATTTATTTCGAACCTATGGAAATTTACAATTACTACATTTTTAATGCTCTATTGATTCTATTGTATATGTTGCTATGTAAATGTCAACTAATTTCCGAAAAATTATGAACACATTAGTACACATACTTTAATTACATGTTGGAGTTATTTTTAACATGTAAGATTGTAGGTTTATATTAACTTGTTACATGAATAATACACATTTTATGTGGTAGTCCATATTATATAAAATGTTAACTTTATTTGATTCAAGTTGGTACTGATTGAATTAAAGTCAATCTAGTAATATAGTAGACCTCATTAACTACAAAATGCCAAATTTCCACAACTTGGTTGTGGACTGAACTTACTTATCTATGAGTGTATGCACAATAATTGTATGACTATGATGATTGCTGATATTAAGTGATGTATCAAATAGCAAACAAAAATAATAAGTCATTATTTGTTTCAAATAAATAATTACTTATATGAGCAGATGGTTAAATATTTCACTTAGAACTATTTATCTGTGTTTTACCAAAGTGACAATATTATACTGTTATCACAATTAGCTATGATAAAATTATTCACATTTTGATGAAGTAATAATTACAATTTGTTTCAGAGAAAAGGTTTTTTAAAGCTGCACAACTTGGTAATGTCGAGGAAATAAAGAAGTAAGTATATTCAGTGGTGACCATATAATTAAGAACAATTTGTAGTTATAGAATGTTTTAAATGAAACTTTCCCTATTTTTTTTTTAAATATTACTTTTTTTTTAAATATTTATTTGCATATTCAGAGAGCCACTTTGTTAAGATAAACTAAACTAAGATAGACATATAAAATTAACATTTTTTTTTGTAAAAGTGTATTTATTGTGGACAGTATTATAGTATATGATAATGATGCTGGACAAATTAATTAGAGACAATAATAACTTAAGCTGTTAGTATAATGTTTAAAATAAAATACAGAGTAATTGTATTGGTATAATAAAAAAAAAATACATTAAGAAAGAAATTAAACATATTTTAAACTAAAATTAATATTTGGTCACATGTCCATGACTCTTAATAACTGCTTTACACTGACAAGGCATTGACTCTATCAATTTTTGACATTTTGCCTGATGAATAGAATTCCATTCTTTGGAGAAAACATAGTATAGTTCCCTTAAATTTCCACACAGTCAATTTGCTACCTTTTTTTTAACTTTACACCAAAGATGTTCTATTGGGTTTAAATCAAGGCCGTTAGCTAACCAGTCCAAGACAGAAATGGATTGAGAGTGAAGAAATTACTAAGCGGGCTGTATGTTTGGATCATTATCATATTGAAATTTCCAAACAATTGGAAGAATGTCTTCAGTATAGGGTACCATTGTTTCTTCCAATATATATTTGTATTGAACTTGATCCATGTTTCCTTCTATAAGCCTAATAAGCCCAATTCCATGACCAGAGAAGCAACCTAAATTTTCATGTTGCCACCACCATGCTTTAAAGTCACCTTAGTAAACTTAAGGTCAAATGGTCAACTTGCTCTGATGGACACACTATTTATTTTCGATTCAACAGAAAAAAGTACATAAGACTTTTAGAATAAGAATTCTTCTCCCAAAGTTTTAATATAATCTCCCTTGTAGATTAGTAGCAACTATTATTATTGCCATTATTCTTTTGAAAAATTTTGTTACAATAGTGTTTACTTGTTTACACTACTAAATGGCGCCAGTTCTATGAGAAAATAGTGTAACCAAAGAGTGTTCTTTGTTTAAAATTGAATAAAAAATAAATAGTTTGTGTTCTTAATTATATGACCAGCCAGTAAGAAGTAATTCTTGGATTGGATTTCACGTTTGCATATTTAATACTTTTTTTATTCGTGGTTTATTAAATCTAATTTAAAGGAAGTAGCAACAATGTAGAAACATTTAAAACCACCACAATAATAAAATAATAATACATGCAACAAGCTATAGGTTTTTTAGTGAATGTACTATTTTCAAGGGAGCGTTCTTAATTATATAGCCACCACTGTATATTTACATTGCATTGTCTAAAGAAGTAATGGAAATAAAATAAACTATAATCAAATTATTCAAAATTGAGCCGAATTTATATTCATATTTGTTAATTTCTGATTACAATTAAAATAATTGTAATTAACTTTCTTATTTGTACTATGAATGTTATCACTTAACTTGCTTATTTATCTATATGAGACTTCAAAAACTCGTTATATAGAGAAACAAACTGAAAAGAGAGAAATGAAACCACAAAATTTTATTTTATTTTTTTGGGATCTTTTTTCTGTACTTATAATAAATAAAATATAATAATTTATTCATAACAATAAATATACTAGTCCACACCTCAATCTCATATATTTTAGTAATTATTAATTGCTAGTTTATAGTCATATTAACATATTAAAATTTTATAATTAATCTTTTAATCATCCTTGCCTTTAAAATTTGTTCTACACTATGCTCAATATGTAGCAGTATATATTTTCACTAGGCAAGTCGAGGCGGCAACTGATGGGCGTCACGATGGTGAGAGTCCTGCAGACCGTCGACACCCACTCGGATGGACCGCACTCATGGCTGCTGCCGCCAACGACCGGCCTGCAGCTGTCCACGAGCTCCTGCGGCTCGGCGCACGTCCAGACCTACAGGAAAAATATGCAGGCGCAGCTGCCGCCGCCTCCGTTGTCGGTCTCCACCCGCTTGAAGCCATGCAGCGCCGCGAGGATGAGTTCTGTAGCTCGATGAATGCTCGCGCATCCTTCCTCGGGTGGACAGCGCTGCACTACGCGGCGCTTGCGGACTCAGCGGGATCAGCGCGTGCTCTCCTTGAAGCGGGTGCAGACCCAACGGCTCGTGACCACGCCGGTCGTCGGGCACTACACTATGCTCGCGACCCATCACCCACACGTGATCTTATCCTGCAGCACACGCGAAGCTGGGAGCAAGCGGCCGCTGCTGCTGCTGCCGAAGAGCGCCGTCGCTTTCCACTCGAACAACGGCTCAAGCAATACATCGTCGGACAACAAGCGGCTATAGAGACGGTCGCAGCGGCCGTGCGACGCAAGGAAAACGGTTGGGCGGATGAGGAGCACCCACTCGTCTTCCTATTCCTCGGCAGCTCGGGTATTGGTAAGACCGAGTTGGCAAAGCAGCTGGCAAGGTACATGCATCGCGACGATCCCGCCGCGTTCATCCGGTTAGACATGTCTGAGTACCAGGAGAAACATGAAGTGGCTAAGCTGATCGGCGCTCCACCTGGATACGTGGGCCACGAAGAGGGAGGACAGTTAACGCGGGCGTTGGCTCGCCGGGCAGATGCAGTCGTACTGTTCGATGAGGTGGACAAGGCCCACCCAGACGTACTTACGGTTCTACTGCAGCTATTTGATGAGGTGATTTATCACTGCTCTTACCGTGACTAGCTATACGTGACGTCATGTGGGCCTCCATTCGTCTAATGCTAACGTAATTGTGTAACATATAATTTAATGATAGTCCTCACCTAATTTGTTTGCGTTACATCTCCACTATTTATCATTTTAACTGAGTTTAAAATCCAAAAGGAGGATATATATTTTGAAATAATCTGACAGATTTGGTTATATATTCGACGGCGATATATGTTTTTTTTTATGTACGTTCACCGATACTTCCGCCCCAATTGTTGACTGATTTTCGAAATTCTGTTTTTATTCGACAGCTTAATGGACCGAGGTGGTCCCATTTAATTTTATCGGAATCGAATCCGTAGTTTTCCTTTTATAACAAAGAAGATACGCTTTTCACCATATATCACATAAATATTTAGATGATACGTGATAAGATAATATAAAATAATAATAAGTATGTATTTTTTTTTTTATGAAAGTAGGAATGTCAATCGATTTCTTCTTGAATTGTGAACCAATTTCTATCAAGCTAGCTGTTTAGAATAATATGAGTATAGAATGATTGGAAAAAAATATGTTGAGCAAAAAAACTATTGAATATTTTTTATATAAAAATATAAATATCACTAAAAAGCATAAAATAAATTTTAATAGCATTTTCTTTAATAAGTCACTTTTGAGACAAGTATTATTTATCACTTTTTAAAATTTGAAGTCGAGTCTATTTTTTTTTTAAGCTTTTTCACAATTAAGTAGCTCGCATTGTTCTAAAACACAGACATAGGTCGTGTGTTGATGTTCTTTTGTAAATAAAACGAAACTAGCATGGTGGCGGTAATGTTACAGCGGCATTTTTAACTGTCCTATTGAAATAAAATTATTTAGCCAGAAAACTAGCCGTGAAGGACGTCATTTAGTTTTAACCAGTTGGTTATGATATATGATTTGTAGTGCTTCGTATCCAGTAATGGTCTTTGTAACTTGACTGTAACTCTTTATTTTTATATTTTTTTATTTGATTTTATTCAATTCCAACAGGGTCGCCTAACGGACGGTAAGGGCAAGTTGATCGAGTGCAAGAACGCTATATTCGTGATGACGTCAAATCTAGCCGCGGACGAAATTGCACAGTACGGTCTGCAACTGCGGCGCGAGGCAGAGGCGCGCGCGGCACAACGCACTCGCACGCAGGCACTCAATGACGTCAAAGGTACTAGTATATAAAAAATATATTTTTTTTTGTTTATTTGCATTCAAAACAATTCAATTATCATACAATTATTTCTTACGACAAGCCCTTTCATTTGATATTTCACATCACATAGTTTACGAAACTTTATTTTTAATTTACAGCTGTATTTAGACTGCATGACAGCCAAGTCGTCCTGTCATTATTTTTCCATTTTTTCCTTTTCATGTTTGGAACTGTAAAAAAGTGTTAGTATTTTTTAGATAAATTGAAAAAAAAAAACACAAATACAATAGTAATGTGTAATGTCTTATTTCATGGTTTACACTGACAAAGTATAAGCCTTTAGTAATTGATGTTCTAATTTAATGTAACTATGCATTTCAACAGAAACCCATGAGAAAATCGAAAGCACCGAGCAGGAGACACTAGAGGTGTCGCGTCACTTCAAGGACAGCGTGGTGCGTCCTATTCTGAAGCGACACTTTGGTCGTGACGAGTTCCTGGGCCGTATCAATGAGATCGTATACTTCCTGCCGTTCTCACGGCAGGAACTCCTGACCCTCGTGCAGATGGAGTTGGTGCGGTGGGCGGAGACAGCGCGCCGAAGACACGCGGTAGAGCTGCGTTGGGAGGGAGGCGTGCTGGGCTGCCTAGCCGACGGGTCAGTTATGCCACATTCATTTAAAGTTCTAATAAGCCAACTAGAATACGTTTTGTCAGCAAGCCCAGGGTCACTTGGCTATTAGAAATTATACTCGGTTAAAATTTGGTAATTATACTAAAAAATATATTTCTAGAAATATGTAGTCTTATAGCAAATAGATGTTTCAGAAATTGAAATAATCTAACAGATTCGAAAAAATTTAATAGTCAATATTTACTACAAAATGGCCTAATAGATCTTAATTTTCTCTGATCTACTTGAGAAACAAGTAGATAAGAATCTTCGCGTGCATACAAAAATCCAGATGTGCGCCAGTAAATTAAAAAAATATTTGCCTAGATTAGTAATTTGAGACAAAAGTGGAATGGAATCGTAAAGTAAAGTAAAAGTTGTTACCGCGTAAACCGTACCGCGAAGTGTAAAAACGGATAAAGCAGCGGATTTTTTTTTAAAAGGTACGACGTCCACTACGGTGCGCGATCGATCAAACATGAGGTGGAGCGACGCGTCGTGAACCAGATAGCGTTGGCAGCGGAACGCGGCGCGTTAGTACGTGGTTGTAGCGTACTACTCTCAGAACGCGCCGGACGACTGGCGATCGCTGTACGAACACCTCCCGCCACAGAATATACCCCGCTAGATCTCGCCGCCGCCTAGACCCGCTCACCCCCTATATTCTCACCTCGACGTAGACCCGCTACTCTCTGCATTTCCATGCCAAAGTATATACCCGCTTGACCCTCGCCGTGGTGTAGACCCACTTACCTCCTGCATACCCATACCAAGGAATATACTCCGCTAGACCTCATCGCAGCGTAGACCCGCTCACCCCCTGCATTCTTTTGCCAAAGAATACACTGCTAGATCTTGCCGTTCACGTACACCCATCTTTATAAAAAATGTATAATATCATCTATCCCCCGATCCCAAAAGTTATATCGTTGTAATTACTATAGCATAGGTTATCGTTACCAGAATAAATCGCATAATGTATTTATTATGTAATATAGATCTGTTGAACATCTTCGATTTTTATTTATGGTCAATATATGTGTTGTTTGTCCTAATGTTTTACCTAGAATATGAACTTACCTAGAATTTAGAATACGTTACCTAAATTAAGGATGTATGCTAAGGATCGTGCCTTGTGATGCTCGGTCTTCTCTACTCCTCCGCAAGGGTTGCGGGTTGAAAAATAAACATAATAAGATAGGTTCTGGTTTCTTATCAACCGTTCAATAAGAACTGTAGCAGGTAGAGCATAATAAAACAATACATTAATGAGTGCTTATTTTATTAAACTTCGCACCATTATATACAAATATAATGTATAAATAAATAACAATTCTTTACAAAATATAATCAATTACGCGCCGGCGCCGGGCGGTTAACTAAACACGCGTGAAGGCCTCTGTGGCGCCGGACCCGGGGCCCGGCGGACGATATGATCAGTGCAGACGCACGCGCCACCATGCACTCGGAAAAAAACACGCAATATTGATCTCAATTTCTTCACATCAATTTAATAAAGGATATTATCTCAATGGCGATTCAATTATTTTATTTTATTTATATTTAAAACTTTATACCGAGGTTACATCTGTACTAATATTATGTAAAGAGGTAAAGTTTCCAACTTTGTCGTTTGTAGGGGATAATCTTCGGAAAAACTTATACGATTAGAATATTATTTTACCTACGGCATAGACCAAACGGGAAGCTTTATCATACGCGGTTGTTATACGCTATTTGAAATAATGAACTTTAGCAAAAGTTATGAAAATGCTGTTATAAATGTCAGTTTTATTGCAGTAGCGTATCAACAGAAAAGGTCTCTGTAGCATTTGAAACTATGTCTACTTAATTTAAATTTTGTAGATTTTCTGCGAATGTTTTAGATAAGCTCTGTAAAACATAAATTGCTATTTTTTTCCGACGCATGTACCTTTTTATGTGACATATTTATAAAATTCAATTCTACTTATAGCCAAGTTCACATCTAATTTGATACGGTTTCGCTTAATTTCATTCCTGTCAGATATATTTTGCAAAGCAAGTGTCAAATTAGATGTCCACACGACCATACCATCTATTAAAACTTATTTGTAAATATACGTAAACAAATCGTATTGTTTTATAGAATATTTTAAGAATGTAAAACTTTGTGATCACAATATGATTTAATCAATAAGTATTGCATCAGATGTTTATTCTTATATACTAAAGCCTACCAGCTAGTTAGCCTACTGGGTGTTTCATCAGGGGTACGGTACGGGTTACAGGAAGGTACATTTTTTTATTCAAAAATCCCTGTTTCGTCTTGTTAGTTCTTACTTAAATTATGTTAATGTGCGCCGACTGAGTACAATGGAAAACTTTCTGGAACACATCATTACTATACGTAACTTATAATGCTTATTCGAACTAAATATATTCGTATGTGGTATATAAAATATTTCACTTACATTATATCTCCTTGTCTATTTTAAAACTTCGTAACTATCAACTAATTGGTGTTCAATAAAATATGCCATTTTCAATACAATAAATTTAGAAAGATCTACTTTCTACTATTATAATTTTAACATTTTTATATAAAGATATACAGCGTTTTATTAGGAGAACGCTTATAGCTTTAGGTGCCGACTAGTGATTCGTTGTGGACTACGTGTATTAACTGTTCACATCCATAGTTGTAGACATAGTTCATTGCAACAGAGGAACTGCTATTATAGTGTTGCAAGACTATCGATAGATGGATCATTTATACTAAAACAAATACAAAAGATAATTTGTCTTGATAAATAGTTTCAATGTTTTTCATTAATAATATTAAAATATTGTAAAATGATCGGTTATCGAGGTATGAGTATTGTGAATATTTTACTAGGTCTTAATGATATCGAGGATCTCGATGGTGCACAGTGGTTAGAACGTTCGGTTTGTTATGCTACTACGTATAAGTAACTTTCGCAAAGACCCATTCTATTAGGCATCATTACTATTATTATTTGGTTCTATTCATAGGGAAGGTCTGTGCCTTAATAGGCTGATGATGATACTATCGATAGTCTAACTTAACTATTGTTACAACACTGGTGTAGTAACAATCGTATCTACCGTCTATTTGGTGTTAACATTAGATGCATAATATTTACCTATATAAACTAACACAATTCTACCAACGGTTTACACAACATTTTGCTTTGCTCATGTTATAAAGACACGTTTTGTGTATTAATTATATTAATCATTATTACGCACATATTAATTATTTTATTATTACTTAACTAGGTAGGCATTTGTTGAACTGTTATCTAAATAGTAAATATATATAATAAAAATATATATAGCTGTAAAAGCTAGAGTTGGAATAGAAATGACAAGCACGCGACTGTCCCTAATTATAAACACGTATTATCACAAAGTTTAATCATGCGTCATTTTTAAGAAATAAGTGTTGGTTCCTTAAGTTTCTATTACAGAAATTGGTCATGTTTACCGGTCCCTTATCGGTGTATTTTAGCAAGCTCATAGTATTAGTAAATCAGTAGAGTACTGATAGACGTGCTTGCATTTCTATCTCCTCTAAGCGTCAATTTGTACTAGCGCATCGAAGCGTCAGTCTGAGAATTAGTGTAGTGTGGTAAATTCAGCTTTCATTCAGGCTTTATGAGTGCAATGCTCATACTACTTAATGACAAAAAACATAGAATTCTTTTGCTGATCGGTGCATATGAAGGTGCATATAAATGTTCCCTTATTCCCGCAAATGGGCTATAATTTTTAAAGTTTTTAATGAGAGAAAATCGATTGTCCTCCTCCCCTTCGAATGTTTAAGTATAGAGTTCCCAGTAGTTACCTACCCCCGTTAGCCAATATTGCTCCTGTGTCCACCATATCGTAAGGTGCACTTAGGTGCAAAGTCATCCATTCCAAGACTTTGTAGACTCCTAAACGAAAACAGCTGCATCGTTGATGTACATGGTGACACATTTACCAGGATCAATCGATATTGTTTGAGATATGGAAATAATGCTTTCTATAGGTAACATTTTTAATTGTACTCGTAGAGTAGTACGATGTTAAGTGGTTCAATTTAATGTTAATTAATGGTTGAAGTATATTAATTATTGAATATTACTGAAAAATTGTTTCGTACACCTTAGTTATGAAAATTATAATAGTTATTTGTTTGTTCTAAGCATTTAGTGTTTACCTGTTCTTGTTCGTTACATACACGCATGTGATGCATCTTTTTACAATATTTAGTACGTTAGTTTATTGTGTAACCGAATGTTGGTAAACCATATATAGATAAAAAAAAAATATTGTGGATTAGGACGCTTCGACTCTGCGCTAGTGTGAATTGACTCTATTGTAAGACTATTAATATCTTTCAAATGAAGATCAAAAATTAAATCAGTGTTTTTAAGATATAATTATTTGTTCGTTGCCTCTACATGAGGATATTGCTTTGCGTGTATTTTTACTATAGATATATTTACCACCGGAATACTTAAATAGAAAACGACTTGAGATCGTGACTCGGCCGAACGCTTCGAAACCTTGAAATTGTTTATCGATGTTAATAAACTACTTATAATATCATGATAATTTAAACAAAACTTATAAACTATAAAAAAAAATCATTTGTGCTACCGTCTCATCAGTCGTCCTATACGTCTCCAGTGGAGATATGCTGCCTTCTCGTAATATCACCGTAATTTTTATCATTTCGAAACGTAATTGTACTTGGTATATTTTGGTACGAGTGTCCGTTAGAGCCACCCGGCGGAGTTGTGAGGCACGTGGCCGTGTAGTGGCGTAACGCCCGCCAGACGTGCGAGAGCAGCACAACGCCCGCATGAATCTCCCGCTCCCGCTCCCGCTCCCGCGCCCGCTCCTGCCCCTGTGGCCGCCCTCGTGCCCGCTCCGCTCGCGTCCACCACCACTTTCGTGACCGTCCCAGTGTCGTCATCAGCCTCGTTCGCTTCCATACCGCATTCGCCGCAAGCCTCCTGGTAATGAAATAGTGACGGTGCCTCTTTGAATTGAGGCTATGTCTACGGTGACATAGCCTGCTTAGATGGTCGATTTAATACATAAATTCCTATATATGTTGTTGTAAAACCCCGAATAATAAAAAAAAATCTTAGTCTTGAATCACTCTGTATATAGATGAAAACTGCATTAAAATCCGTTGTGTAGTTTAAAACATATCAGAGTAGGAACGGCAGGAAGATACTTTGCATAGATCAAAGGTATACTATGTATAGATCATAAAGTCAAGGGAAACAAGGTGTTAGGATCGTACCTTATGTGCATCTTCGTCGAGGCTGGCCAGAAGGGGCTCGCGGCTTCCGCCCCGCGCGGTGGTATCAGCGGGGGAGTGGGTGGTTGGTACGGCAGGAGCAGGTGCTGCAGGTGGGGGGGCGCGCGCTGGCACGGAACTGGCGCGCTGCAGGGACTCCGGGCCCCCGGTGTTGCGCGTTACCGCCGCACCCCCCGCGCGCGCCTCCTCAGCTGCTCGGCGTGAGTCCGAGAACTTTTTGCGCTTGCGTTTGAGAGCCGCTAGTGCCGTCAGAGGGTGCAGCGGTCCGCCGCTCCGGGACCCGCGCTCTGGGCTGCGCTGCGAATCACTACCCGACTCGGACCGATCACTGCCGCTAAAGTGAGTAAACAGCTAGGCACTATTTTTCATAATGATATTATCACATCTTCATTTTTGTCGATTCTACCAACAAAAGTTGTGAACTATTTTCATATCCTCATTATTATTATTCTAGTCGACACTTACCTAGTGCAAAGTCCAAGTGCATCATATGCATTCATTAGCTTAAAACAAATTTCAAAAACGTAATGCATATTACAACGGATCGATAAAAATTCTTTTTTATCTCAGAAGATATAAGATTGACGCTTTGATCCACTTCGACTCTGCATTTGATATAAGCTCAAAAGTGTAGTCAACAACACATCAGGCTATACAAAACTATCTAATTCCTCCACTAGATAATAAACCTTAATGAAATAGAAGTAGACTACAATGTCACTTGCTTTTTGACATTTAATATATTGTGGTAGCCTGACGAGCAAACGCTGTTAGTAAAACTTACAATAGTTATAGATTACACAAAATCAACAAACTTCCACGATAAATTCTAAACCTTCAAATATGTCTGTCCTACATTTATCAGTAATAGAACACTTTCAATTAATTCATCAAAATGGAATGAAGATACGGTGCATTATAACCAAGGGCGTCGCCAAGGGTGGGGGGGGGCAGTTCAGAAGGAGTAGTTGCCCCCTCTTGAGATTCTAAAACAGTTGCCTAATGTAAAGCAACCAAAATCTTCACTTGTTTGATTGATCATTCCCGTACGTCGAAACTCACACGAACTTTATTAAGCGGGAGAAGGGGAGTGGTGTACATTAAAACCCCCAAATCATTTTTATTGTATTTTTCTAATAAATGTAATATCTTATTTATTTATATTTATTCTACAGTCAAGAGCTTGCGTAAAGGGTTTAGCCGGATACGTATGACGAGTCGGCCCCCAAATGGGAATCGATATTGAAACTTATGTTTTAATATCGACTTGATGTTCAAACACGATTTATGTACTTTTCGCGACCGACTTCCGCTTTGACCTTGAGATAGAGAGCAAAATATCCGTATGCTTGACTATTACTGAATGTGATATATCTCTGAAGCTAATTAAGATAAAGAAGTGAAACTAACGCGAGGTGTTAGGTTACATTACAGAGTATATCACATATATTTTTTTATAATTTTTAGAATAAAAAAATACATAAAAAAAATAAAAAATAAAAAAATCATGTTTTTTTTTCTGAGTTCTCTGTGACTTACAATCACGAAATTAATATATGTTATGCTCCTTTGTGTGCTCTATTACCCATAAAAATTGCGTGAAAAAAAAGTTGGTGCAACACAACGGAAAAAAATTATATGTGATTCGCGCCTTGTAGTGTGAGTGTATAAACAAACAAGTTCGAACTTGTTATCGAGCTGTTTACTGCATCGTTTGTTTAGCTAAAGTAGCAGTCATTTGTATTACACAAGAAGGCAGTTTGGGACTCAAATTCTGTCATAGGTATTTTGTATCAGCATTTTGAAATTATTAACTATCGAACCAAATCATTATTAAGTAATAATGTCGAGAAAGTGTAAAAATTGTAACAAGTACCTGTGTAAGATTCCAGGAGACCAGGATAACCAAGATAACCAGGAGGTTATAAAAAAATTATAAAGAATGAAGAAGAAGCTAAAGTGTTTAGTGACTGTTTGAATAAAATCGTTATAGTTAATGATATTTTTTGTAAGAAGTGTCGACTTATCCCATATATTAACAAAAAAGCTTCTACTTCTAAATGTGTAGCATTTAACTTGGCCGAAATAATGGACGATCAAAATAATCTCTCAGTACAATATGTGAAATCAGCACCTAATATCATCAAAGCAGAAGTAAAATCAAGACATATAAATAGAAAAGTCTATCGAATTTACATTCACTATATTTCCGAAGGTAATGACTACAATAGTATTCTTCGTTATTGCTGTGATTGCCCCAATGGCAAACGTACAGTAGGATGCTGTTCTCATGTAGCAGCTATTATTTATTATCTATCATATCGATGATATTTGTCCAAAATCGTACGTCCTGCTGAGGTCCTAACTAAGTTATTTGCGACTCAAAGTGTTCCGATTGTAATTAATTACAACAGTGACGATGATTAATATTTTGTTTCTTGTATTTTGATAGACACGAAAAAGTAATAATAATGAGTATTGAACACTGGCTGTTTTTTTTTCATTTCATTTTAACTATTATCCCATCTCTTAAGACTAGTTACTTATGTTTTAAAACAAGCTGAAGTGAAATTTCGAAAAAAAAAACAATGATGTAATGTGAAAACCTTATAATACAGGGGTATACCATAAGACAGAAATCACATATAATTTTTTTTCGTTGTGTTGCACCAACTTTTTTTTCACGCAATTTTTATGGGTAATAGAGCACACAAAGGAGCATAACATATATTAATTTCGTGATTGTAAGTCACAGAGAACTCAGAAAAAAAAACATGATTTTTTTATTTTTTATTTTTTTTATGTATTTTTTTATTCTAAAAATTATAAAAAAATATATGTGATATACTCTGTAATGTAACCTAACACCTCGCGTTAGTTTCACTTCTTTATCTTAATTAGCTTCAGAGATATATCACATTCAGTAATAGTCAAGCATACGGATATTTTGCTCTCTATCTCAAGGTCAAAGCGGAAGTCGGTCGCGAAAAGTACATAAATCGTGTTTGAACATCAAGTCGATATTAAAACATAAGTTTCAATATCGATTCCCATTTGGGGGCCGACTCGTCATACGTATCCGGCTAAACCCTTTAAAAGTTGGTCTCTGTGCTGTAGTTACAATTCATGCTTAGCTCATTCTTCATAATCAACTAGCCCCCCTCACCCTGGGCCATCGGTTAGCGACGCCCCTGGTCGTAATTCTCATGTTGTCGTTTTACCTTGGCGACTGCCTCGCATGGTCACACACGGAGTCCTCGGAACGCGAGCGGCCGATGAAACGCGATACACGGGCGGCGCGCGCGGCTTCTATAATAGTGCCCCATCGGCGTTTATGGGGCGCAGGCTTACGTCGAGTGGGGACAGGCGCGGGGGTCACGGATGTGGCCCCGCCGTCAGACAATGAAGACTGGGAGGTGCGTAACCGCGCGCCCAATAATGCGGAGAGTGACGCGTGATGCGCACCGTGCGCTCCGCCGTGCTCGTGATGTAACGACGCGAGGAACTCGTCGCCGGCAGTCAGTGACCCACCGGGTGCGATGTTGAAACCTTTCATCAGCCGTCGCTCTTTCTGACGATTCTTTTTGCCGCCGCCCCCGCCTGAATCAACATTAAAAATCAACATCCACCCTTATTCCTTATTTTATCTGCCCTATATATATATATATATATATATATATATATATATATATATTATTGGAGAGCTGAGAGATAGAGATGACGTAGTGTTAGCGCGCTTGGTCTGCGATATATTTTTCAGCAACTTTTGCCATGGCTCGTTATCGAATGGGCGCTAAATTTCTTTTTTATCTAGAGCTTCTCCGTGCTTTGTATACGACCCACCAATCTTCACTGAGATCGCGTGGTGAGTCATGGCTCATTCTCTCTATTCCATCCACAGGGAAGGCCTGAGCCCCAGCAGTGATATATTTTGTAAATGTTGATATTTCATGATTTTGTGAAATGGTTAGTCCTATCGTGCAATTTCAGCGGGTGTGTCGCGTGATACTAGATTGAATCAAAATTCACAAAATTATAATGAACATAGTTACCCGGTGCGCCTGCATTGGCAGTGGACGTGTTCATGCCGGAGTTGCGCAGGATCTCGACGAGCTCGCAGCGGAAAGCGGATACGTCCTGCTTGATCTCGTTGACGTCATCCTCGGTGACACCTCCACTCTCCGCGCGCCGTTGCTGCACCGTCACATACCGACGCACCAGGTTCCGCATTATAGCCTTCAAAAAAAAACTAACTGTTTGAGATAACTAACGACTATATACGTTTTTGTAACCGTAAAGTGAATTGTGTAATATGTGACAAAAATAGTATCTGGATCGGTAGTCAGGCATTCAATACATTGAAATCCAGATAAAATACTGACCTGGTATCGGAAATCACGCTCGTTGGCTTGTTTTGCTTTTCTCTGTGAATAAAAAACAGCAATCATAAAAATGGTGCATTCCACGAAACAACTACATTTAAGCAGTAACTTGGTTATATAGATATTGGAATGTTAGAGAGAATCCTACTGGCAATTTTAATAGTAAACTTATTCAACAGAAAAACTGTTTTCAAAAAGAAAGAGTTGATATTAAACATAACGTTACCCTGATGGTACGCATGTGTTCTCTTTTAGCGCGTGCGTGCCCGCACATACGTCGCTGCAGCCACCGCCATGCGTACAGCAATGATTTAGGCGATGGCACCACGTTGAATGGCGGCGGCGCGGTACCACCCTCCTCGAAGTACGAGATCCAAAGTTTACTGCGCGCGAACTTCCATTCCACGTCTGCGCGCTCCTATCGGTGGAGAGATAGAAATGAAGTTTTACGAATTGACTTCATTTCAAAAAGTTTAAGACACTATAATCATAGTTGATATCGTTTAGTGTATTCTCGCTATCATTAATTTGCGGCGGGGGACCTTGTACTGAGAATAGGGGTTGTCTATGTCTTATACTATGTCATTCATGAGTATGACGCATGAGCCTAATTTCGAGTAATGAAGTACTTCATTCGACTTTTATTTAGGGAGTGTAATGGCCTGTCCCACACAACAATAGCATGACCTGCTCCAACTAACAATAATTTCACAACTGTGTGATTCGACAGATAATATATTGCAGGATTACTTTCATTAAATATTCACTCTTTGATCAGGTTATTAGTTTTAGCTATTTCAATAAATTGTTGAAGGTATCAAAAAAGACTCAGATCTATCTAAAGTATATTCAAATTGTGCGAAACGGCTACATTATAATTCTAACAGAGTATGTAAGAAACATTCCACATGTTTGAAATTAATGATCACTTACAGATATAAGTTGATAGGAATGATTCATCATGGCAATGAGTAGGTTGAGTAGCACGATGACATTGATGACAGCGTATGTGCCGAACATGAGCATGCCCCAAAAGCGGGTAAATATTTTTATGCCGTCCAACTCGAACGAGTCAAGGTCCACGAGACCGAACGCCGCCCAAAACAGCGTCTGCATAGTCTCGAACAAACTAAAATCAAATCAGCATTTTGACAATCTTTCTAAAAGGCTCTAAAAAAATCAGGAAGTAAAAGATATTCAAAATTATCGTACTTAGCAAATCGTCTCCAGACGATACAAGCGTCAGGATCAGGTAATGTTCCATTCGGTGCCGGAAGAGACGTGCCGGTCGTGCATCGCTTTTTCTCCATGTCAGCATAGTACCAAAGAAGTTGGTTAAGACCTGTTCCCGAATTAGAACAGGAATAAGAAATTATATGAATTTGAAAAACTTAAGTATAGAAATGATATACAATACTCACCACAGGAGAATGCGAAGATCACTAATATATCTAGCACGAAAAATTTCAGTATATCCAAGACCATTCGACTGAGAGAGACTTGCAGTGGACCTAGGTGAGGGTTGACACTGAATATGTACACCAGTTTGAGGCTGCTGAAGATGTTAGCCGCTGAGAACAGTCCTTCGGAAAGGAGCATCGGATCCCATGCGTCCCATTTCTCTCGTGGCTGATTCCATTGCAAACCTTGAGCCATCTCGCGACGTACCTATAAGACAAATAACAAACTACACATAACAAATAATTATCATATTTTTTTAATTGACATTACTAAGAGGAGATTTTGCTAGATTTAACCCAGTTACTGAAATTGCCACTCAGGATTACTTATTTAGTTATAAGATGCGATAACACATCAAATAGTTATTACCTGAAAGTGTGACACTATACGTAGAGCGACAGTCGCGACGTACAGTGAGTTGGTAACAAAGTCGATAACATTCCACATGTCGTGCACGTACTCCCGCAACCCCATATCCCACAGCTGCTTCACCTCACTCCAGATCAGACCTGTAAAAAATGATACTTTAAAAAATACACACACTCAAACAAATCAAATTGGGCAGTCAATTTATATTTTCCAAAGAATTCATTTTTTTGAAGACAAAGGATTTTGAAATAGAGGCAGACCGTTAAATCGAGATGGTTGGTGGTCACATCGTATAAAAAAGACAGCAGGTCCGATCGCTACAAGCAAAGCACAATGAAGAAGATACGAAGAGTCATACATCAAACATTACAAGAATTAATTATTCCGAGATATAAAAAGCCAATAACTTTAAACTTAAATAGAGATCCGTACCGCTGACCCAGGCGAGGATGAGCCATTCGACGAGCGAAGGCGGTGCCCCGCGGCGCGACAACGGCTCCGTATGTGGCGCCGGTGCGTCCCATAGCAACCCGCCTGCCGCTGTTTCGATGCGCTGTGACGCCAGGATCAGCAAGACTGCAATCATCATACAATTACATAAAAACTCATCATTTATGTTCTTATTAAAAAATCTTGCTGTATCTAAAATATTATCAAAAAGTTTGATGTGGTAGTGGTTAGTACATTCAGCGTGGGATAGCAGGTAGTAAATGCACTTTCCCAAACGTTGATCATCGGATGGATGTCCAAAAATGCGTTATACCAAACTCTGTACATCAGAAAGCACTTTAAACAGTTTTTCCCGACTACATCAACAATAGTTAACAACCAACAATCCATATTGGGCCCGCCTCCTTATAGAGGGCTTTGTATAGCAGTGAATATTGAAGATTATTTTTAGATACTATTAAAATCCCAGATTATCCAGAAAAAAAAAACAAATATAAACTGTATGATAGGCTAGTGATTTCTAGCATAAAATAATTAATTTTCTTTTCTAAACATTTTAGTCGAAATCCTTTTTCCCCATTTTCTAGCAGAGGACTTTGATGCTGAACAATTATTGATGTTTCTTATCATCTGCATAAAGATATTAAACTATTTGCCACAAACGACCGGGATTAGCTCTAATGTTTGTCTTAAATGAACTCACATAGGAACATGAAGTAGCTTGCAGAGTGGCATAAGAACTTGATGAAAGGTTTGCGCAGCGTGCGGCCGGCGGCAGAATGTGGCGCAGCAATGTACGCGAGCGAGTACAGCGGGAACATTGCTCCGATGCGGACCATCTCTGCTGCCTGCAATAGCATGTTCTTGCGCCGGAACCCTGGCACACTTTCATACCAGATTGACGCCAGAAGTTGCTGAACGTTGGGGTGCGCTACGAACTGTTATATAACATTTGAGTTCATTAACTTTTTGTATTTATTAATATGATTATTCTTAATACCCTTGAATTATGTATGTTCGTGAAACCATTTTTATAGTCACCTTCTTCTGCCTGAGTTTGATGGCGAGTTTAAGTCTGGATAGTCTCATACGCTCTGGTGCACCGGGCTCTGGCAGAGGCGCTTGTGGCGAGTCCTTTTCGTGGTTGAGTAGCACCTGCAACTCGTGCGACGTCCGCGTGTGGTCTAGCAACGCCGTTGCAAACTCCTGGCACTGGACTCGTAACTCCTGGTACTCTGTTTTGAACTCATGCTCTAGCGCCGAAAGCCGTCGCAACTCCCACGATAGCTCGAATGCTGTTAAATAGTTATGTAAATGTCGTTGCTGCTGTTACAGTTTATAAGTTTCTTGCACCCATTCTTCTTTTCATTTAAAAGATTATGGTGTGGATGTTAGGTAAGAAATTTGGATAAAATTAAGTTGAGAATGTATACAAATGGGAATGTCAGAGAAACTAGCTAATCAATCAATGTAATAACATTCCCAAAGTCAGCCTGATACCTAATTAAGATTTTGTTACTCACCTGACAAGATGGGATCCTTGGAAGAGAGAGCAATGAGTGAAGGGGAAGCGAGTGCTCTATACGCGTTGATCCTGGATCGTGAGTGGCGGAGCGAATCTTCGCTGCGCGAGCGCACACACTCGTCGCAGCCGCATCGCACGTCATGCGGTACCGGCAACGCGGCACCGCGGTCCAGCAACAGCTTGATGATCTCGTAGCTATCGCGGTGCGCCGCCAGGATAAGCGGTGTTATGTCCGCTGTGAACGTAGCCGTCTCCGGCGGGAGCGCTTCCCAGCTCTACAATTAGTAATGGCATTCGATTCTTAAAAGCACAAAACCTTGATCTATCTTGGTTTAAATTTTTTGGCTGACAAAAGAAAGCGCTAGTGTTCCAATTTGATGATTTTTTGTGATAGAAATTGTCTTTACGGTTCTAAATCATCCAATCACTTTGAATTTTAATGAATGAAGACATTTTTAAGAAATTTTCATTCATAAATAATAAATTAATTAAATATGGATGACGACTGGGTAATAAAAAAAATAGTCCGTCAGTGAGACAATAAAAAAAAAATTTATACGTATTCCTTTTGCTTTAATTTAAACAAAAAATTACTTAGATAAAAGGTATTAAAGTTGAGGAGGTGGGGGCTCGCTACGTCACATTTCTGTAAAAAATGCACAAAAGCGTGACGTCATGCAATATTTCAACTCAATATATCGCCGTAATTTATTGATTACGCAAAAAATAAAAATAAATGTGTTTAAAATATTCTTCAATAATCTAACTGACGGACAAACAAACAAAATTAGTCATCATCATCATACTAATACATAACGCCAATTAAGTGACGGACAGTCAAAACGAAAAAGTACATTCGTACTCTTCATAGCCATTTTTTGGCTGAATAGTAGGGTGTACAGAATTTTTTTTTTTCTATTTTCTCTACTCAAGAATCCTCAAAAGTTGTGTTATTAGTTGAAGATAACCATAAAAATAATAAAAAAAATATATAAAAAGATATCTTGAAGGCTCTACCGGCATTTTTATCAAGAAAATAAATTATCTAACCGTCCGGTTAATGTCGCATTTACTATTTTATACATTACTACCATTTTATTATTATTTTATTTATAGTGAAGCCCTAAACTACGAATTTTCAGGTAACAAAAGGATGTTTTGAGTTAGGAATTGGTTTGGATCGAACTCGTAAAAATTCGTGTTTTGTTTTTCTCAAATTCTCTACTTCTACGTTGAGGCAGTTCGTCTCATTTCTATTGTAGTTTCATTGCTGTAAGATATCGCTCCGTACTTTCTTGTGATAAAATACGTGTTTATTTTGGGATCTTATTAAGAACTTGATGATCAGCAGTTACCAGTGATAAGTGACGTTATCAAATTCAATTTGTTTACTAAAAATGAACTGAAACAACAGAAGAATGGGAAAGATCCTTCTAACTCAGAAGTTTTTTAATCGTTTCTGAAAAACTAAGTGCGATTTGAACCAAAGCCTCAATTCCCACCGTTTCCAATGTACGAGTTATCCAATAATATTTCGACAAATACCTGTCATTGAAAAGATATCCCAAAAATAAAAGAAATGATAGCTACGAATACAAATTGAAGTGTTTTTTAGAATCGTCCAATAAGCTCTTCTATATTTCTGCTTGTAAGTGCACTTCATTTGACATTTGATCCTCCGTAAAACCAAAGAAAGTTGCTATTTCTGAAAGAGACTTTACTGGACCAAAAAAGTGATAGACAAATGGCAATAAGCGATATAGACACAGAAGAAACGACAAAACTTAAAGAAACATCAGGGACAAGAAAATTTAATGCAGTTAGAGCACGCATGTTTTCCTAGTACATCACAAGAAACCAATCCCGTTCCGGTGCGCGAGTTGCCACTTCAACCGCAGTCGCCAACAACAGAGCTTTCTCCGAATAGTGACATACTTGTAAATGAGACTCCGTCTACTTCATTGAATCGGAACAACCTGGCGCTGCCAACAGTAGCTAAGGTATATAATCGGTATGGACTATCAACGCGATCTGCTGCTGCGGTCGCTTTGGCGGTCTTAGCTGAGGAAGGATTGGTATCTTCCAAAGATCTAAGCCCTGTTATTGATAAGAATAAAATTCATAGAGCTGTTTCTAATGCGCGGACTAAGGCCAGGAAAGATATTGATGCTATTGTAGAAAAAGCTATCTACTTTGATGGACGAAAGGACAAAACACTCATAAACGATAAAATAGGCGATCGGTACCATCACATAGAAGTCTTGCAAAAGCACATTTCAGTTCTCACAGAGTCGGGATCTATTTATCTGGGTCATACGACGCCAAGTCGTAACACAGCCAAAGGGATAACCGATTCTATCATATCTTTGTTAGAAAGTCAAGGTTTGCACTTGGATGAGGTGATCTGTGTGGGTTGCGATGGTACTGCTACGAATACGGTTGGAAGGGAGGTGTCATTAAATACCTGGAAAACTATTTAAAGAGATCGTTGCAATGGTGTGTTTGTATGCTTCACGTGAATGAATTACCGCTTCGCTATCACTTCGTGACCTGGATGGTAACACATATGGGCCTAAAGAATATTCAGGACCAATTGGAAAACAGCTAGCTGTTTGTGAAAACAAACCACTAGCATTTTTTTGTGCAGTGACTGGCAATGTCCCCGAATTATCTGATAATATTATGAAGGAACTAAGTACGGATCAAAAGTATCTCTACGAAATGTGTCATGCTGTGACGACTGGTTCCTGTTCCCTGGAGCTAGCGAGCTGCCAATCTGGGAAGATGGCGCATTCGAGATGGCTCATTACTGCCAATCGCATACTTAGATTTTATGTAAGTACTATTTCACCGTCAGATAATTTGCAGCTACTTGTGAACTACGTGGTTAAAGTTTCGCCCCTGTTTGGTTCCTCATCAAACAAAACTCATCTTTTAAAGATGGACTCAAGCATGTTTTTCAAATGATTGTGCACTCTCGATTTTGGCCTGCTAGTAAGAAATCTATTGTAAATTCAGTCATCGAAAGAAACGCTTTTTTTTACGCACCCAGAAAACCTGTTTATTGCCATTATCGACGATAGAGACCATATTCGAGAACTTGCATCTCGCAAAATATTACAGACCAGAGAAGCCGAAAAGAATGACTCTCGCAGGGTATTTAAAACACCAAAGCTTAGCTTCTGTGCAAAAGATAACATTAATATAATATTTTGCCAAGAGTGTGAGATATCGGTTCCACAAATTTTGCGCCACATCTCGAATGATGACCTTAGAATGACGGCTAAAAGAACACAGCCTCGACATTGTTGACTTCCCCTGTCACACACAGACAGAGGAAAGATGTGTAAAAGTAGTGACGCAGGCTTCTCAAAGCATCATGGACGCTACAGCTAGAGATGGTTTCATTAGGAACAGATTAATATCTCGTGCAGCAATGCCTAATTTAGGGCAAAACAACCAGTCCTGTTTTTAAAATAGCCACTCATTACTTGCCTTTCAACTATTTCAAACTTTGCTTTGACTCATTATTGTATCCATAAATTTAATAAAAACCATTTAAACTTTTTGATTGATTTATAGATTATGTTAGGAACCCCTAAAAAGGGAAAATCTGAACAACTTCAAGGACCGGTAGAGGCTCCAAAATGACAGATATCTAATTAAATTTTAAGATCGTAACATTTGAGTGTTGACTCAACTTTTGACACATCTTGCTTAACCATATCTAGAAATTATTTTTTTCCCATACATGGACGGAACACCCTACGAATAGCCATATTCGATAATCGACAACGGAATTTAAGATGTGTGTACTACAATATTATTAAATATTAAAAAAAAATCCTTAAATAGCTATTACAAATTATTGTGTGTTCATACATGAGGTTCCCCAGGTTTGCGCGAGCGTTCCTCGTGATCGAGCAGCGCTTCAACAGCTTCGACGAACTCTTCTGAGATGGCGTGCAGCAGCGCATCCCTCGTCTCCACGCCGAACTCCAGAAGCAGCTCCACCATCTCAAGGTTCTCGTTATCGATAGCCATGAGCAGTGCACTACGACCGAGCGGGTCCACGCAGTCCACGTTAATGTGTCCAGAGTCCCGCGCGCGCTGTAACACACGTCTCGTGCCCGCCACGTCGCCTCGCTCCACGCCCAGGAGGTACTTCTTCTCCTCCAATGAGAGCACGGCCATCTCTTGATGCGGCCGCACCACATTTTCCTCCTCTGTCATGCCATGGATGCTGTGTCTCTGTATCATTAAACGTTAGGGTTCGATCGAATCAAATCCTATTATTTGAATCTTTAAAATAATAAGTTATTATTTGAATCTTTCATGAACATTTATTTTTTAGGTAAAAAGTAGGAGAAAAAGTCTCCAATAAACTTATTGAAAATCAATAGGATCGATTAAACATTAATCATATCGCAGTGAAAATTTCTCACAAAATGAATAGGTATGTTAATATTTCATGTCGATCGTACCATTTTATAACATGTAGTATTAATTATTCAATCCTACTAAGAACAAAACTATGAGAAAAAAAGATTTGTCCGAAAAAAATAAGCTATAACGAGCACCAATATGTAAAAAATTACCTTCCTAGATATAAAAACAATACAAAAGTCAGTTTTCCTATAAACAAAACAACCGTTAACGTAGGAACGTTTATAGGAATAAAGAGCGAGACGTCTCGTTGTGATAGAATACCTACGATAAAGTGTGAAGTAGGTCACTTGTTGATAGGAGAGAAGTTGACAGGTTATAAGGCAGCGTGATAGGGCCGTGGACGGCGTGGCGGTTGCAGCGCGGCGGCGGCACCGTGCCGGCGACGCGCCCGCCCGCCGCGGCCGCGCCACCCACACGCGCCACCACTCATTATGGAAGTGGGTCGCGACCCACCCCCGTCCACCGCCCGCCCCGGGACTACGATCTACTACGGATTGTCGTTTGACGCGACTTTATCGCTTATAAAAATCATTGTTTTCCTACGCTTCCGTCCCTAACACCCGAATTATGTTAATATACGGAACGAACTAGGAGAGACTAGGGCCCGCTGCGGGGGCGGGCGGGTGACCGATGCCGCGTGTTGCTAACGAATCACGACAACGTCGATTAATCGGCCCATTCGATTTCCCTGAAATACTTAGTTCTTTTATATAAATGTTTACACGAGTCGACTCTAATTTGAGACCGTCGAGAGTTTCCGTCGAGAGTACTCACCGCGAATATGATGTTTATATACGAGCGCTCCAAATGTAAACAGAGCGACATGTGTGAATGATTTAATTAATACCTACACACTGATACAAATCTTATTTGATGGGGGAGAATTAAATAGGTGATTATTCGAATCTGTGTATTTATAAATTACTAATATTGACATGTGAAGACATATCTACTTATATAAAGAAAGCCTTTAGAGACTTTTGAAATAAGTTAATTGATAAATGGCGTAATTCGCTTTATTTTCTTTTCAAACACTAAAACTAACTTTTTTTTTTATTTTGCTCAACGTGCTTTACTTGCTTCACGTTTGTGATGATACGACGCTTGCTTTTTTCTAGACAAAATATAACTTAATCAACAAGACTCCATTAAATAACAATCCCCCTTGTTTGATAAAAAAAATGTTCTGACCGCCATCTGGTTTATTCTTAAAATAAACACCTGAACCTTTCCTTGATACGCGTAACAACAATACGCAAACGAAATTGGATCAAGATTATCATCAACAAACTCATTATTATTCTTTCTAAATTCCACGACCACAGCGGGGAACCGTCGACCCCATGAAGAGTGTGCTATTGTGTAATTTCCCATGAGAACAGTCAATGTAGCTATTAGTATTACCATCGGTTGAACATCTTACGTGACGTCAACTGAGCCGACAGGCACTGTGTCTGCCCATTTAGTAATTGCCTATTTTCGTTACTGGGGCCCATGAAGTCTCCGAAACAGTCACCCACTTTTACTTATTGATAAACAATGTGCCGATCGTGTTTAAGTTGCTAGCAACTTCGGGCTTCAATTAAAAGCCTTAGGAACTAATTGAACTTCACATCGTTGAATTCGATCTTAATGATCTAACGCTTAAAAGTTGAAACTAGTTATCGCGTAAAACGGTGTTCCTGAAATTAATTGCTTGACAAATGAACTTCTATTAAACCAATGACAAAACATCGAACAATAAACTTCAACCTGAAATTCATATCACAGTAGACAGGTTAGATCAGAGAAGTTCTATCTTCACAGAAAACAAATACTGTGATAGAAATAAAGATTCAATCGGTTACTTGTAAAGGTTCCGTGTTTAACACATCCAGTAATTATATTAAATCTTCTTGCCAGGGAGCACTTAGGCTTATTATAATTTAAATAACTTATAATAATAATAGGTATATACTCGCGCTCTCTGTTCGCTTAATGAAATTACTTTTGAATGGGTTTGAATATTTAATCTATTTAGAAAATGTCTTGTGATTCCAAGCCTAGTATGATTAATCTGCAAATAAAAAAAATGCTTAGCTAAATTAGTAAAGAAAACACAAAATTCAATCCTAATTACAAATTTTTGGCAATCAATAGGGATTTCCGGGAAACCAGGAAAGTGAGAAAGGTGGTCAGGGAAAATCGGTTGAATTGAGGGAGGTACTTCGAAAGTCAAGGAAAAATTGTAATTTCACATTGCTTACGATCTTTAAATTTCCCAGTGGTTGTAAAATGAAGAAATATTTATTGATGCTCTGACCCTTTAGATCAGCACATAATATTTAACGGAAGATCCGTCAAGCGTCTAATGAAAGTGTGTTAGTATGAATCATCGGTGTAGTGTGTATGGCTGATTGTTAAATGATATACCTAACGTACGTCCGAGGGCCTATTCTATTTATCCTCGAACGAAAATTCGGAAAATGTATACCTTCACTCAAGACTAAGCCAGCTATTAAGCTATTCTTAATACAAAATGCTTAAAAAAACCACTTGGTCCCTGGTACCATTTAAGCATTTGGTATTACGAATAATTTTCAGTATGGCATTGTGAATGCAAAATTAATCAAAATATAACAGCTATTAAGCTTATAACAAACGATAAATATGCTATAATATTTATTCTCACGAGTAAGATAACATATAATAACATTTTTAAACTATCACACACAGTTAATATAATATTTTGAAACCTTCTTAATATGTAAATGTTATATGATCTCAGAGCCCTTTGATTTGTATGCCGTGTGTGTTGGGCCACTGGGCCGTATATTAAAGTTACTTAAAACTAGTCAAATTTATTATATTATTTGATAGCTCCTTAAATAAGAAATTAAATCCACAAAAATATTTGGTAAACTATGCATTTTATAGTAAAAAAGAACATATACTTAAAAAAAAATTTTAGTTTCGAACTTATCTTAATAAAATTGGCTGGGATTTGAGAAAATGATGAGAAATGTTAGATAAAAGTCAGTCAACTTATTTTCGTAGAGTGCCCGATTTTCGGCAAAAGAGGGATTAACTCCGAGATAATGATGCTTAAAACAATGCCGAAATATCGGGGACTCTATAAAAATAAGGTACATGGTGGCAATTCTGATATCGATTTACTCTAAAACTAAAATAGAAAGATGGTTGTTGGAGCAGATTTTAGATAGACGGTAAAAAAACTAAAAGTAATCCCTGCAATTGTAGGTAAAAAAAAAATCTAGATTTTGTTAATCGACTATGCATATGCTCTTAAGTTTGTGAAAAAACACATATAAAATACATACAAACGTTAGACAAACATTATAGTTATTTAAGATACGAGTGCGGAAAGTAAGGTTTTACCTCTTACGCTCAAGTTTCTTACAAAATTTTTCAATGCTTTTTGCAAGGAAATAAAACAAATATATAGGTTAATTAAACTAAGTATGTATTAAAAGTAAAAATTATTGGTTAAAATTAAACGTGATATTTGAACATGTTTTCGTTTCATATATTTTTATTTGAAAATATTCGTTCTAGGCTCCTTATAATACTTTTGCCTCTAAAGTTTGACATATTTTCATCAATTTTTTTTTAAATTTATTAGGTGCTCGGCCAAAAAAAAATTAAAAAAATACTTTTATGCACGTGTGCAGTAAAGGATTTCAGTACATTTTTATTTAACACGTGTTTAAAGCCTAACTTTCGGTGTTTACAATGGATTAAAAAATAGAGCTTTATGAGCAACTGCATTCAAAAATATATATATATATATATTACGACCTGCCTCCTTATCCTCAAACGCAATCGCGACCGATTGATTGGTTCACTAGCATACTCTGGCGCTAGTGGTCCAATCAAGAGCACGAAATGGCACAATTGCCATGTCAATAGGTCGCGATTGCGTTCGAAAGTAAGAAGGCTGGTACGACTAAAATGCTAAAATGCAAGATCGCCAAAGGAGTGGTCGGCCACGCTCTGTAAGGACGCCTGCGAACATCAAAATCATCCGAGAGCGACTTCGCCGAAATCCATATCGCACTCATTTTTGTCGTGGGTGTCAATAAGTTGAAATTACGAAAAAGGAATAATCAACAATGACATTTAAAATCAGAGGCGTAAAAATAATTTAAATGTAAAGGCAAAACATTCTTTAATTCGAAATTATTTCTTTCAGAGTTTTCATCCATTTTCTATGGAAAGATCTAAATTTCATTAAATTTAAAGTTAGATTTAACATAAGATAAGTTGTCCTCAAGGGCACCAGCTTTGATTATATACTTAGTCGTCAGATAAAAAGGCGATCAGGAAAAGAACATTTTCCCATATAATTTTGCAAAAATCTTCTTCAAGTTTAAAACTCTTTCAAGTTTATCTATTAAATAGATAAAAATTTATCTTAATCAGTCCAGTTTTAGTCCATAACATACTAAAAAGCATTCAGTCAAATTGATTTAAAAGTGGATTCAAAAAAGTGATTAATACTGTAGATGATCATAGAATTTAAACATTACGTTTTAGGGTGGATTGTCTCACATTGAACCTTAGATGGTTTGGTTATACACATATTTAGATAGTTAAAGATTTTTTGCGTGTAAATGTATTTTTAACATTATGTTAATGATTATTTTCTATAATAATCTAATGTGGCACATCTGTTTAATAATCTTTGTCGTCCACTCTGTAAACAATATATAAACAATAATGCATTTGTAAGTCGTCATTCAGCATTAAAACAGTAAAAGTAAACTCATACCTGTGAACACGTTTATTCATTTTACAGACCTTCGTATAAATAGAGTCAGATAGTCAACTTACCAATAAGTTAAATATCACCCTATATACCAATATATAAATACCCAACATACGGTAAAGTAGTTATTACAATATATAGGTACGGTAAATTAGAAATAATTCGTTATTTTTTTCACGAAAATCTATTAGTCCACTCTTTTCTATCAATAAAGAATCACCACAGCCCGACCTTCTCAACTATCTAACTTTGATACATTTAAAAAACAAAAACATTTAAATAAATACTTATACGTATCAAATGTGTTATTATATTACTAGCTGACTCTTTCGCGACTGCTACTGAGCTTCCCGTAAGTGAAACAATTTTTCAATCAGTCCATCAGTTTCGGAGCCTATTAAATGCAAATAAACAATAAAATCTTTCCTCTTCATAATATTAGTGAAGTCATAGTATTAAAAAAAAAACAAGAAACAAATTGAAACCAACATTTGTTTCTTGTTAGAAAAAAAAAAAATATTTACAATCGGTGAAACTAATCTGCAGAAAATTTTATTTTATTACGAGTAGTAGAGAAGACTTCGAATGCGGGCATTATAGCATGCGTTACGGAAATCTCTCGTGCCCCGCGGAATGAGGTTTTTATCCTTATCGGCATATGAAAATGTATCATAAGCAATTAAAACATACTGTTAAAATGCATAAAATATAATTTGTCTTTGTTTGTAATTTTCCTTATATTAGACATTTTCAGTAAGCGTCACATTAAGTAATTGTAGGATCTATGTTTGGTAGAGTAACTTAGTTGTGGTTAAGTTTCGGCAACTCCTCATGCATATTAAACGAACCGAAGCTTTGTAAAGCTTACTGTTCGGTTTCTAAATTAAACCGGATCTCATATGATAATGTTAAGAAAATGTCGACACATTATTTCAGTATGATTTAGTAATACAATATGTGTTTCAGTAATACAATAAATACGTTTGTCAAGGCAGGTTTGTTGCTACTATAATTAAAATACCTACCAAAATTCTTACTTTTATAGTAGTCACTTTTACAGGTTGCGTTAATAAAAAGTTACATACGTGATTGTTCAAAGGTGAAATCAAGTTCGTTAATTTTTTATACATTAATAACTAATTTTTTAACTGACTATATTTTTAAAATTCATCAATTTTGTATTCACCATGCTTAATATTGCTCTGTGGTTAGAGTAGTCTCCTAGATTGCGAAAGGTCAAGGTTAGGTTTTTAAGCATTTTTCATTAACGATATTTTAATGGGGCCTATCAAATTAGACATCTTAATTTTTTTTTTTTGAAAAGACGGTTTTTGCCTTTCAATTATTCCTTATAGAACAACACTGGTGTTTGAATATAAACACAATACATAAATAAAGTCGGTGTTGAATGCAAATTCGATTCGAATACAACTGTGCCACAGTTTAATACAATAAAACCAATATTACAATAAAACCAAGATTTCAATAGGGAATAAAGGTTTTATATGGTGGTAATAGTGTGATAGAGCTGTGCTGAAAGTTTTACAACTTAAAGATTAAAGATTAACATCTTATATTGTTATAATTATCCCATCACTCGACTTAATAGATAAGTAATTAATATTTGAAAAAATAAGTCGTCTTTAAATCCCCGATAAATAGGTACATTTTAGAGGCATCCATTTTTCAAATACTTCAATTATGTTATTTTTATCAGTTATCGGCAAAGTTCATACGTCAAGTCAAATAAATTTCAGGCACACATGGCGTATGATTTTCAATCAGTGATGTTACGCCGAACCCGTCATACATAAGTTACTGATCTGTCAAAAGATAGTGGACATATTTGAATGACATTTGGCTAGGTTGCCATCCATCCGTAAATATCCATATTTATCACGGTCTGGATACTGGAGGGTCTGTGCGATTTTTTTATCGCGTGTGTTCTATTTTGTGCTATATCATCACGAGGACGAGACCGATCCGGTGGAAACATATTTTACGCTTGAATATTCGAAATTATTAAGCTTCAAGCGCCTATAACAAATTGTCGCTTAGATTTTTGTTAAGGTTGCGATAGAGAAAAAACTGATAAAATGTTAGTTATAAATTATGATAATGAATAATTAATTATTATAATATTTTAAAAGTTTAAATTTATAAATATGCTGTAATTAGAGGAAAAAAGTAATTCAGTTCACAAAATTTTATATTATCTTCGTTACGGTCAATCATATTCAAGTTTTGTTTCTTTCGTCATGTTCGTCTGTCCGTCCGCGGTTTAGCTCAAAAAGTATTGGTACTAGAAAGTTGTCTTTTTGTATGAGTATACACTTTAATTTCACGGACAATGTAATGAAGTAAAATTTCGAAAAAAAATAACGGTATCTCCCCTACATGTAAAGTGAAAATGATATTTTTTTCGTCTTCCCCATAGTGTGGAACAAAAACTTGTGTAGGAAGGCCATTTCATTGTTTAATAAACTGTTTGTGACTTATTAAGCTTTAAACTTTGATTAGAGATTATATAATCTACGACTTTAAGTTTAAAGAGCAAATTTTCGTTAGAGACTATCAAATAAACATAGTTGGTAAAAATTCAAACATTACGGCAATAGTTCCTATAAATAACAAAGTTAGGTTAGGAAAGTTAAGATAGGAAAATTATCTTTTAAGTTGGCTTTACAAATTTACGAGTAATAGTCGAGCAATTGTATTTAACTTGAAAATTTCGAACTCCATAAAAACAAAAAACGCGTTTTTTGTTATTTTCTATGGGACTCGCACTAGGCGGTTTTTATTTTAATATACCTACTGTATTGAAATAATACGATCTTTAAAAACGACATAAATCATCATCATCATCATCAGCCCTTTATTTCGTCCCCACTGCAGAGGCTCAGGCCTTCCTTATGGATGCTTAAATAGCCATGACCCTCCACGCTGGTCCAATGCGGATTGGCGGGTATTAACGACTACAAATGCAGCCGGGACCAACGGCTTAACGTGCCTTCTGAAGCACAGAGTAGCTCGAGATAATAATTTTTTGTCACACATCCCGTGACCGACCCTTGCAAAAGTTGCTTAACGACAATGATCGCGAGCCGCGGCGCATATCCACTACGCCACCGAGCTACTCAAAAAAACAGCATAAATAAAAATCCTGAATTCAGCGGTCAAATAAGTCATTTAATGAACTGCATAGCTATTTACAATGAAACCATTAAATATTGCAATGCTGTTGATAAATAACAAAACAAAAGAAGAAGGCATACTCGAACAAAAACATGATGATGAAATGCCACGCCTAACCACTGAACCACTAAGGAGGTTCTAACCTGCAGATAAAACCTATTTTCTCTATATTAATCAGACACTGGCAACGTTTCGTATACCTTTTTTTATACTTTATATTGTTTGTATGTCACTCTCTTCTTTACTCTCGTCTGACATTTATGTATTTATAATGGGGTTCCTAATGAAACGGTTTTCATCTCCATTCAAGCAAATATCCCAGGGCCGTTAGACATTACTTATTTTTTGATGGACAAAATGTATCGTTTTAATATATACACAAATAGCATTAGTAAAAATTCATATTATTATACAGACACTTAGCAAAGGTTAACCTAGTACGAGGTTCAACGGGAGTAATATTTACTCTTAGAATGAAGGAAGTTTACTTACTCTCTGTATAATATGAATTTGGACTAACAGTAAAATTACAATTTTACTCTGACGCTAAACCTTGTTTAATAATGGCACTGATTATGTATTACATTTACCATTTATTATATTAACATAGTATAACACTATAAAGTAGAGTTTTTACTTACCTTTCTTACCTGATACCTGTGAGTTGGCCATCAGGCCAAGCAAGTTTGTAATTTTATATTAACGTAATTTTTATTATCTTGATTATTTTATACTGTGCTATATTGTGTGTTGAAGAAATGAATACCTATTATTATTATCTACTGCCTTTTGTCTTGATCATCATCATCATCAGCCCTTTTCATACGCACAGGTTTTCCATCTGGATGGTTAAGGAGGATGAGCTATGACCCTCCACGCTAGCCCAATACGGATGGACGGCATTGACGACTGTAATCGCAGGCGAGACAAACGGCTTAACGTACCTTCCAAAACACGAAGTAGCTCGAGATCATAATTTGTTGAATATATATGATTGCAGATGTTGGATCGAACGGCTCAACATACCTTCTGAAGCTTAGAGGAGCTCGAAATATTTTTTGGTCACCGTGACTGACCCTTGCGAAAGTTGCTTAACAACAACAATCGCGGGCAGCCGCTCTTGTCCACTACGCTACCGAACTCCTCGTTGTCTCTCATTTATTCATGATAACCTGATGTCGCAGTGATAAGCTGAAGTTGAGCAACATTTGCAAAGGATGTGTGACCAAAAAAATATTTCGAGCTCCTCCAAGCTTCAGAAGGTACGTTAAGCCGTAGGTTTCTACTTCTGCAATCATTAATATTCACCAATCCACCCTGGGCCCGCGTGATGGGTCATGCATGGCATTCTCCTTGTTCTATCTGTTTCAATTCCATTCATACAGAAGGCATGTGTCCCAAAAGTGGGGGCATTAATAGGCTGATGAAGATGACTATTATATCTTAAACATTTTGTCCAATAGATAATAAGTAATGTCAAGTGGATCTTACTCTAATAATGTGCCGATTTCCTAGCTGTCTTTTTCTTTTTAGTAGCTATTCACAAGCTAACAAAATCGTTCAACATATCTTGGCTCTAAATAGTACGTTACCCAATAAATACCCTAGCTTTTAAATCATTCTATTGGCTTTAAGGCGCTTCAGAATTGCTGATTGAGTCACTCTCAATTTTTCTGCCAGAAATTTTTAATTAGGACACGTGATTCTCTAATAGCGACTTCGCCATTGACATTTGTGAGCATTTGCTAAGCTACTCAGCTCAACCACATATTTCCTCAAACTGAAGCAGTGAAGCAAATAACAAGCATCTGGCTCGTAAACTGACATCTTCAATCGACAATCGACCGTTCGGTTACTAATCAACTTAATGTAGATAACTATTATATTGACAGATGCCCAAGTTGATTATATGACGTACATGATCTTCTTACTTTGATCACAGAACAAGAAAAACTTTGATCGTTAAGACATCTACGAGGAAACAACGGGGGAAACGATAAAACTTAAGTGTTATTTGGTATCGATCTCTATAATTATAGGTACGTAGTATAACATGTAGCTAAATGTTGATCTTAACATTAGAATAAAAACAATAAAACATTCTTATAGCTGTTGCTATGATTCTAGCCATTAGTTAGGCGGTTACGGTAGACACAAAATAAAAATATAAAATTATATTAGGTTCATTCCTACAAATTCACGTTACATTGATTTTTGTTTTCATATAAAAAACTGCAATCACAATCTTCAACACAGGAAACAATACCAAACAAGAATTTGTATATAACCTGTCCAAAAACAAACTTCGACACTTCAAAGTTAGCCGCATCATGACATCAGAAGTCGTGATTAAGGAGATTGAGTTTGGTTCTTTAATCGAATTTACTACCAACCTTACCTTAACCTTGTTGTCGAGTGGTCGCGGCTCGGGCGCCAGCAGCGAGCCCAACTCCACGCGACAGGTGGAGGGGCGGCGCGAGTCCAGGTCCGGAACACACAGTCCACCGCCCAGCCCGCCGGCTCCGCCACCACCGCTTCCGCCGCCACCGCTACCGCCGGACATCTCGGACCCGCCGCTCTCTGCACACACAGCGCACGGTCACCGGCGGCCGCGCCCACCAGGCGCGAGCGCAGCCGCCGCCGGCTCGGAGAACGCGCGCAGCCGACGCGAATGATTGTTAAATTTAGCGACGGCGCGTCCGCAGGACGGAGGGCAGGAGCACTCACCGGCGCCGTCGCCGCCGCGCGCGCCATCCCGCGCCCGCTCCGTGAACTGAAACAAAGCGGGCGATGAGGTTGGTGAGGGGCGGCGGGTAGCAGGCGGCCGGCGGCGGGGCAATGGTGGCACGCACCTGCACGCGACGCGCGCGCCGGGCGGCGATTTGCCGCGAGTGCCGGCGCAGCGCCTCCAGCGTGTGCTCTCGAGCCGCTCCCGCTCCCGCCCCCGCTCGCTGCGCCTTCCGCCCGCCCTGCAATACAAATGAAAGCTCTTTAAGCTCGTAAATGTTTGCATACGCTCTCTATCATATAGCCGACTTCAGACATTAAAAAATTATGAATAATATTTATTTCAAATTTCGGAAGCAACTTATTCAAATCCGTAATTATTTACTAAACGTAAGAAATAGTGCTCGAATGTCCATACAGACCTGTGTTATTCGTTAAACTCGAGAGAAAGTTTATTTCTGAGATTTCACTTTAAATTAATTATGAACTCCTATGAACCGGTTGCGTAACTTTTCGACTTTCAAAGTTCTTGTTACTGTTTCCTTGTTCTTGCAAGGGTCGTACGTACTAACAAATATTCCGTTCGAAACAATTGTACCTATGTAAACTACTAAGTATTTATAATAATTAGTATTATAATAATTTGTCGGTCATATTGAAAGTTTTTTAAAAACCAGCGAAGTGCGAGTTGGTTTGGTTTTAATTACAACTCGATATCTCCACGCGTTTCCGAAATTTAGAGTCTTACCGACAATAACGTGATCTTAACCAACCAACTTAAAAAAAAAGTTCTCAGTTTAACCTGTATGTTTGTGCGCGATTATCTCACGTTTGGATAAACCGATTTTGATGAGATTTTCAGCATAGTATTTGTCACTTAGGAATAAGTTTTAGGTATTTTAACTAACTAAAAAATGGAGGTTTGCCCTTTATCACGGTTTTGACGTGTTTCTTAGAAAAGTATTTTATAAAAATAGAACTGACTTCAAACTTTAAAAAAAGTAAAAATAATACTTATCTCAAAAGCGAGTTATTCAAGAAACTTGCTTTCGAAGTCGGGCACCTATCATTTATTAATCTACAAAAAACCTCAGCCCGACTTTAATAGCACTTTCTTGAATAAGTCGCATTTGAGTATTATTTATATTTTCGCACTTTTTTTAAGTTTGAAGTCGGTTCTACTTTTTTCCTATTCCGTACCTCAACACTAAAAATAACTGAAGGACGTACAAAGGAGAGAAACGGAACACTTTTATTGGTTTTTGATCAAAACATTGACTCGAACTTAGAATATTCTATGTATTTGCACATTACATACCTAACGTATGTAAGCTGCTGGTCGATTTATAGATATTTGTTTTTGTATCATTAAAGGAATTAAGTAGCATGTTAGTCATAACATCATAATGGAATATTTTATTCTACCAAAAACTTTTCATGTAAAATGTTGCCAAGCCGCGATCGCCTTGTAAAAATTTATCAAAACCAACTATACTGCACACCTATAATTTTATTTATTTTATATTTACTATTATTATCATTTCTTCTCCTTTTTAAACAATGCTAAGAACATTAACTCCTGTACTTTTATTTTACTACTAGAGTCATATGTTGGGTTGTGGAGGCCTCGTGTTCAGTAGAACAGGATTATTCTAGTATCGGTCACCAGTCTCCGTCCTTGAATTGAATAAGAATAAAATGGCAATTATAAGTGTGTAATATGTGGAAAAATAAATAAACATTATTATTATTATTAACTATTAATACCCTAACTCTACTAGCCCTTACTTCATAAACTCTACACCTTAGTCAAAACATGTAATTCGATCGTTGCGCTATCGTCAAATAGGCGTAAAGTGTAAAAATTATTTACCATCGACCAAACAAGGGGTTTGAAGTTGCTTAGCAACACAATTGTTGACTTCAATGAAAATATCAAAAATATATTTTGATCTTATTCATTGTCTATTTCATTTAATATAAGTTTTAGAAAAAAATTATTTCGATAATAGAAGCCCCATCGAAAAATAACTGTGATTGTTATATTTGGAGCGTTAATGTTGAAGTCTTGCTTGTTACGAATAAACTATGGAAATGCGTTGAAAAGAACACTACATAGACAGTTTGATAGAAATAATAAAATATGATTGTTGAATCGGCAGCATTAAGCTACTGATATTGAAATAAATATTTTATTATTTTCTCTACGTATGTTTCATTTACTTTTTGAAATTTCCTAATGGAAAAATAATTTAGTCATATAATATGTCATACCAATATAATATATTGACATGAGCTACATTGCATTTATACAGTGATGCCATCTAACGGAAATCCCGTTATCTGTCAATGTTCTCACACTTTATGACAAAAAAAATTGAGAGTGGACTCTCTTTTCCCTTACATATACTTTTAGTCTTTGGTTTTATTCAAAAAGGTACTCGTATATATCTAATGAGAGTTCCCTTGTAAATGATGCTATTTTTGTTTATGGAATACAAAAAAACTATGATCAATTTATGACGCAGTTTTATTTACCCTCAGTACCTCATAGGACGCAAGAACATCGGCTTGTTCAGTATGGCATCGTCCATTAATCACGTGAGAGTCAAAAGGAGGGAGGGTGTTCTTCAAAAATCACGAAATATCTCAAGGGCAAGGTATTTATTTATATGTCAAACGCATTACAAAACTGAAAATTGGCGTCAAAAATTAAGATTTGTACGTACTAGAAAATACACGTGATTTGGATGAAGGGGGGTTAGTCTCATGACTACATGTGATACATGGCGAGGTTCATACCTCGCCATGTATCACCTAGGGGGAGAGGGGTTAAAAAATGTTAAAAAAACATCACGTGATTAATGGCCGCCCCTATACAGATTGTTAAGCTGACTTAAAATTCCCGCCCCTATACAGTTTGTAAAGCCCTGAGGCTTGCAGAGCAAGGGCAGTGTTAGAAGCTTGGCTCTCCACGAGATCTGTTAAAGATGCGAGTAATATGTTCTCGGCTTGGCAACATTTTAAAAACAATGGCACAGATAGGTACTTTAACTATTGGTCGCATATGGTTGAAATTCGACCATATAATTTTGAAATTACTAAGGTTTTATTATGAACTAGTTGTTATCCCACGACTTCGAACGCATAAATTATAGCCTATGTCAACTGCGTATGATGTAGCTTCATGTAGTATGTAATTTTTTTAAGATCAGTCTAGTAGTTTTGGAGCCTATTGGATACAAACAAACAATCAAATCTTTCGTCTTTATAATATTAGTATAGAAGACTTGTTCCACTTTTTCTTAAAAATTAAAGAGTCATAGACTCTATTTACAAAAAATTTTGAATTTTTAATATCTGTATGTTGGTTCACTTTTCAAGAAAATAATATCCTACGAATATGAGAAAAAGTATGTAGTGTAATTATTAAGAAGTTGACTTCAAAAAGATAGAAGTTTAATTTAACTTTTAGTATACTCTTAAGATAGTAGAAGAAGAATAGTCTTGAACTCGACATTATTTTAAAATTATAACCGTTTTCATTTAATGACAGTTATAATTATTTTTAATGATCCAATTTCAAAGGAATAAAACAGAACCTTTATATTAAATTTGTCTCAGTAAATTTACTCCGAAATTACTACATTGATGAAACTGAAATTTGGCATACATACGTGACCCAAAGACGAACGTGTAACGTGAATTAATGAACTTTATAAACGGGAGCCAAATTTTGGGGTAAACTTTATAATATGTATATGGAACGCTCGGCGCAAGAATCCAATTGGCACTTGGCGATTATTTATTTTTGGAGTTGGTAGATAATGTTTTCAAAATAGTTTCGTGAAATTAAAACTTGATAAATTTTTATTAGCAATACCATTTAACCTTAACCGAGGACTGACCGACGGACAGACGGACATGGCGAAACTAAAAGGATTCCTTGTTTACTACGGAACCTTAAAAAAGTAATAAATACTCGTAATTACTTATCTCAAAAGCGATTTATTGAAGAACATGCTATTGAAGTCGGCAAGAGGTTTTCTGTAAGTTATTAGTTAAATGGTAGGTGCCCGACTGCAATAGCATTTTTTTGAATTGGTCTCTTTTAAGATAAGTATTATTTATCACCTTTTAGAAAGTTTTAAAGTCGTTTCTATTTTTTGAAAAAGTTTATATTTCATGCTTTTTAGTGATATTTATATTTTTATATAAGTAACAGATAATACTCAAAATATTAAATTTCTATATGAAAAAGTATTCAACATCGTGAAAGTCTTAGATTTTATTTATTTGCTCGACATAATTTTTTCCAATAATCTATACTGGTATTATAAAGAGGAAAGATTTGATTGCTTGTTTGTTTGCATTGGACAGATACCGAAACTATTGAAAGGATTTATACGTCTTTTATCTACGGGAAGCTACATGCTAGCCGGGGGTCATGGGCTAAAATTTTGCATAGAGCTGAAAATTGGTATAGACGTTTCATATACTGTCAAAAATAATAATGAAATGTCAAATCATACTTCTGCAAAAAAAATAACCAGCTCAAAGATCAAAAATTCAATTTTTCTCTGAAACCTTAAGTAAAAATAGGTTAGACAAAAGTTGTGGATCATACGATGCTCTACGGAAAATGTTCTTATACTTTAAATTTAAACGAATCACATTAAATTTAATATTATCCTAAAGAGTTTCTTCAGGGCCGTGGATTCGTTTGCCGTTTAAATAAAAAAAGTCCTCTCCGTATCCCATCGTCCCTCATCCTACTTAAACATAATTTTCGCATTTTTCCTTTTTTCTAAACAAGACCACGTTAAACAGCCTTTT